GTGTTGTTTTTTTTTTTTTTTTTTTTTTTTTTTTTTAAATCCTATGTTACTTTAGCAACTATCCAAAATTGCCTATTATTAATTAATACCATCTTTTAAACAAAATATATCGATACTAAGTATCTCTTTTAAAAATAACAACTACTCTTTTTTTCTTAAAGTATTTTTTTACTTGTTATCGAATAATGTGTATAAATTAATAACAAGGGCGACAAATATATCCAATTAACCTAATATGATTTATTTATTTAAAATCCAATCTTGTTAATCTAGATATTAAAATATAAATGACTTGGGCCATGAAGAATGAATTGTATATAATTAAATGGATGGAAAAAATTTATCATCTTTTATTTAAAAAATTAAATGACGATCAAAATTAATTTAAGAAATAGAATGAGAGTTATTATTATTTTTTTGGTTCAATTTAATTTAACTTTATTAATAGAGGTGAAATAATTCTAGTCAAGGTTGATGTAAATATGTTTTTGACTAAAATCAATTTCAAGATACTTAGAAAGATGTCATGTTGAATACATTAAAACTAAAGTGAAGGTACAACCAAGTTCGAGATGTTCTAACCAAGGCCAAATAAAACATGTTTTGGCTGACTGAAAAATGCTCTAACCAAGGACAAGTTGGAGATTTTTTAATTAAAGTTGAGCAAAAGATGCTTTAGTTGAGACCAAGAATTACCTTGATCAAGACCAATTTGAAGATGCTTTAGCAAAGGTTAAGTGAAGATTCTTTGATTGAAGTCAAGGTGAAGATATTCTAGTCGAAGTTGAGTTAAAGATACTTTGATTGAAACTGAAGTGAAGATACTTTAATCAAACTTGAGTGAAAGATACTTAATTTGATTGTGCTAAATAAAAGATGTCTAATCTAGGTCAAGATAAATATACTTTGACTGAAGTCAAGGTAAATAAACTCTGGCAAAAATTGCGATGAAGCTACCTTGGTAAAAGTCGAGATGAAGATACACTCACTAAGGTTGAAAGACACTTTAATTGATTGAGTATAAAATAATTTTGTGGACAATTGACAAACTATTTTTGAAATAATAATACTCTTTAAAAACAAGTTTATATATGAATGAGTATTCATCCATAAAAAAGTTAATCAATAAATAAGATGAATTTTATTAAACAGATAGTGGACTAATTAGATTTTTTTTTACATGGCATGTCACGTTAGTCTTTTTTAATGAACTAATGAGCTCAAACGTGACAGAATAGATGAAATGTTTGTTCAATTAAAAAATAAAATAAAATAAAATAAAATTGTTGACATGAAACAAATATTATTAGATTGATTAGTGAGTTAATTGGTCAAAATAATCCACTTTAATAATATATTTCAAAACACTTGTAAAAATTTTTTTTTGTTAACATGTAACATATCATGCTCCTTTATTTTGTGAGTTGGCTCATTCACACATCAAAACAATCTACTTTGATAATATATTTCAAAGCATTCAATTTTTTAAGAATATAATTATTGCAATAAAAATGAAATAGATCACCATAATTTAATTGTGAGTTGACTTAATAAGTGATCAAAACAATCATTTTTTTCTTTTCTTTTTAAGAATCCAATTTGATAATATATTTTAAAATATTCATTTTCTCTTAAAAAGAATTAAAACCATTTACTTAAAGTAAATCATGTTAATTTAGTTGACAAGTTGATTGATAATACAATATACTTTATTAATAATTTAGTTAACATTATTTAATAATATATTTTTAAAAATTTTATTCCAAAAATACTCTTTAAATTATATTCTTTAAATAGTAATTTATTTATGATAATGTATCTAATTCAAGGAATTTTTTTTCTTGCATTAATGAGTGACTTATTAGGAGATAAAACAAATGCATAAGGAATATAAATCTCTCGTTAATAAATTTTATAATAAATAAATGATAAAAAAATTAGTCATTAACATATGTTAAAGTGAGTTATGATTCTTATCATTAAATAAAAATATCTAGTTATTTATTTTTATATAAACGAGAGAAGGGAATAGTTTGTATATGTAAATGTCGCATAGAATTTTGAAATTGTTATCGCGAGACACAGAAGAGAAAATAAGGGCATGTTTGGCTTCAACTAGTTAATAAATCATTTTAACTACCACTCAACACAAAACCTTCCGATTTCCGTTTTCTTCTTCTTGGTTGTTCAACTCGTCACGACGTCGTTCTCTAGGTAAGACCAATTCTAATTGAGTTGTGATGTAAAATTTTACTCTCTGTTTTGTATGGTTTCATGTTCTATTTGAATGGAATTTCTGATTGTTGAGTTTTACTTTGTTTAATTCAATTGCACTTTATGATGTTTATGACGTTCGCTCGTTCTCGTTACTTTAGCTTACTCTTTCTCTAGTTTTTTTTTTTTTTTTTTTTTTTTTTTTTTTTTTTTTTTTTTTT